GTCTCACCAGGGCAGGCGGGGTGGCCGGGGCGGCCGAGGGCGCAGCCCCGGCCCGGGCTCGCGGGGAGTGCGTTTTCGCTATTATTTCAATTATTACAACTTCCTGAATAGGTTGAAGGTCATTCATAATTCACGCTTCTGTCATCTTTACACATGCCAAATGCAGTCTATTAAGCATAAATAAAATTTCAAGTGCCTGACCAGGAAAAGTAAACTGGGATTCATAACAATGAGGCCTTATTCATCCATTTAAAAGTAAATTGTGTGTGTTCCTTCTCTCTCTCTTTTTTTTTTTTTTTTTTTTTTTTTTTTTTTTTTTTTTTCCCTTCCCCTCCCCTTTCCCTTTACAGCTTTGCAGTTTGGGAGCTTTTATTTCTGCTCGGTAGCATAAATATATGACCTGCGGCGTAGGCAGGCACAGAGGGCTGATGAGTTAGGCCTCCCCCAACTTCTCCCCACCTCAGACCCCCTGAACTTTGCAAGTGTTTCCAGATCTGGATCCGATTTTGCTCTTCCTATATAAACTGCAGTCACACACCGCTGATCCCAGGGCATGTGAAATGCGCATCTGGACTTTGCTTTTATTTTTTTTCCCCCCCCACCCCGTCCCGGTGGTTTCTCTACCATGCAGCAGCTCTTCCTTTACTTTTCGAGGCAGACTGGTGCATGTTTGCGCGTCATGAGTGCAGGTTAACTCCCAAAAAGTCAGGCAACAAAATGGGCTTGGTAAGCTGAGGAGGTGATAGTCAGAAAATTAAAACCTTTCATTAGTTACGGTAGAGTCAGGGCTGCGTCCAAGAAATCTTCAAGCCTTGCAATTCGAAAGTCCATTTATTCTACGTCAGCGTGCCCCGATGCAAAAGGTACTGCCTGCGGTAGAGGTTGCTGTGATTGCAAACCAAGGGCAGCCTGGGGGGGCTGGGGGGTAATTTATGAGCTTTCCCATCTGGGGGCTCACAGGACCCCCACGCCGCCGCCTTGCCCTCGGTGGGCTGCTGCTGCCTAAAAACTCGGGCAGCGTGGTTCGTTTCCACAGTTAGCTTCTCCCTTTTTCTCAGACAGGATAATTCCGGGAGGTTTTAGGTGGAAGGAGTGAGAAAAAAGGTTTTCAAGTGAAGTAATAAGGACAGCTCTTAAAATCAGATTGAATTTACCTGGGCGATCATTTTGGTTTAAAGCTCAATATGTTTTATTTTAGATCCCCATTGGAACACAGTCCAGTATATAAACTGTTAGTGCAGGCGGGGAGGTTCTGTACACGCAGAAATTAAAAAAACTATTAATGAGAATTAAAATTAGGATTTTAATAACAGTAACGTCAGAATGCCAGAACTGGAAATCTGTCACTTGGACCTTGTTTTGGAGGGCGTTAGTGCCGAGATGCAAAATAAAGAAACATCACTCAACCCAAAACACGGAGTTTTGCTGGATGCTCTGTCTCGTCTCCCCGCTGAGGTACAGAGAGGCTGGCCAGGCAGTTTCTGATGGGTAGCTTGACCATCTCTGATATTTTCGAATACCAATGCAGACAGGACAATTGGCTGCAGAGTTTGTGCCCTGGTCAGGGATTTATCCCACAGCTGCAAGAAAGATGCTGCATCCTAGCAGGGCTTCCCCGAGAGAAGTGATGCACCCCAGCACAGCGCTTCGTGAACAAGACCCTCATTATGCCCGTGCACGGTCCATGTGTCCTCACTTTGTGACGAGAGGTGAAAAGGTCTATTGAAATACCTTTGATGGGACAGCACGAGCAGAGGAGGCAAAATACCAGAGAAGGCTTCGCTGTGATTTTTGTTTGCTCCTTGGTGCAGATGCAGCGCTGACCTTGGAGCTGAGTTTACCTGCCCATGCCACAAAACCTGGGAGCGCCGAGGCGAGTCCTGGGCAGAACTTTCCTGGGCAGAGCAGGAGCTTTGGTGTGGTCCCTCCGAGATGCTGGAGGTCCCACCTGGCCGCCCCCAGTCCAAGTGGGAGGCAGGTGCTGTTGCAGCAGGGAGGTTTGCAGAAGTCTCTCTGGTCAGCGTGCAATGCCACTCGCGTTATTTCCACCCAAAGCAAGCCAGCAACCAGGCTTACCATCCATGGATTGGACTGCAGCTTCCCTTTCGGATTTGTGGAGGCCGTTGTACTTCTGGAAGAAAAAAGTCCACTTTTCAATACATTTATCTTAATAAATGGAAAAACAAGCATCGCTTAAAGCAAATACCCACTGGATGCGGCGCTGACATCAGGTTTATTTGCAGGAGCTAAAAGCTGGCTCCACTTAAACGTGTTTTCGCCCTTGATCAAATGAGTTGTGTTGCCTCAGCCACGTCACTGGTGCACCGAAGCCCACGCAGCAGCCCCGCATCCTTCGGCACCCATGGACGGCATTGGCTCCGGAGGGGATTGTGGTGCCAGGCATTCGCCCGGCTGCATGAGGAGACACACATGAGACCCTGCCACGGCTCTCTCGGCCACTTATGCTCTCCAAAATACTTGGTGGAGTTGGGAAATCCCCTCAGCAAGGGGTAAAAATGGCAAGCCCAAGCAGACCCAGCTGATGGTTTGACCAGGATGGTGTAGAAGAAGAGAGAGATGCAGCCTGGGCAGATCAAGCTGCCCATAAACAGCTTCTCCTGGCTTTTATGGGGAAAATTGGCCATAAGCAGGGGATTGTGGCATGGGTACCTTGTGCCTGATGTGTTTTCCCAGCACTTCTGGCACCTGGAGAGGGGAGAGCGCCTGGGCCGTGGGCCCCGCTGGCCCTGTCAGCCTTCACCACCACTCCCCTGCACGCCTCCTCCAGAGCGGTTTTTGGGACAAGGCAAAGAAAAGAGAAGACAAATCTGAGGAAACGCATCTTATTTAGTTATTTTTAGGTATTTAGCCCACATCTGTGGGCAAAGGATGCTTGTGCAGTAAGAAACGATTAGGCTATACGGCCACCTCCTGGAGGACATCGGTATGTGCTCGGCTTCTGGGGCCACCCGATGGGTGACGGTCCACGTGCGACCGGGCAAGGAGAACACCCACGCATCTCTGGATACCTGTACCTGCCTTGTGACAGATGCATCTGTTTGACTTTAAACAGTGGAGGTGATTTTCTGCCTCTCTCCCAATGCTCTGAGTGTTCAGAGTTAAGAGTTTGAGAGCAAAACCTTTAAAAATACGTTAGTTTGAGAAAATGCAGAAGGCATTATTTTTGAGCCTAGGAAGTGTAGCTGTCGTGGTTTTGTTTCTTAAGGCCTGAGGAGGTTGCTGATATTTATTTGAGCTGCTTCGCGGAGCTTTTCAGTGCTCTTCACGTTTCCTGCAGAGACAGAAAGCAGCCTGATGGATTTAGGGAATTCCCTTTCAGCAGAGGCGCGCGGTGCCGGTGTGCGCTCGCTCTGGGTGCACAGGCCCCCGGGATCGTGGCCCCTTCGCCCTCCCGCAGGCTCCCACTTCCCCGATGGGCTCCTTCCCACCACCCGATGTCACCTGTACAGGGGGACCAGGTGCCACCGGCCGGGGTCACCACCAGCAGCGTTGGCTGCTCACGCTGCTGCTTCATCCTGGACTGCTTTTTCCTTGGATTCCAGTCTGGAGCTAAGGAATAGCCAGGCGTGCTGCTGGTTGTACAAGCCTCCCGCCTCACAGCTTTCTGGGCTGCGTGGGTGGTTGGAACGGGGGGTTGGATGCCTACGGTTTAATTGGCAGCATCTCCTCGGGTCTGCTTTAGCGCCTCTTTCCAGCCCAACAGGAGCTACCTCCTTACACGGATCGCTCAGGGATGCGTTTTATGGCTACTTTGTAGGTGGGCTTGGCATAACTAAGCATGCAAATTGCTGGTGATACTTGCAGTCATCACGCAACTCATTTTGCAGCAGAAGCTGTTGAAAGCAATCGTCCTTTTTATCCTCGCAGAGCCCAAAGCACCAACAGCTTTGGGGCTGGAAGGAGCAGACCTGCCGTAGTCAAAGTCATCAACCTCTCCAGCGGACGGCAGCCAGCACCCATGCCGGGGCAGGGTCTGGCCACGCGGTTTTGATCCTGTAATACTCACCAGCAGTGGTTCATGCCTCTTTGCCTGTTGTGGTAGTCACATTGCTTTCTCTTTTTTTTTTTTTTTTTTTTTTTTTTTTGCAGATATTCTACAGAGTGGTAGCAGATATTGAACCAGGAGAGGAGCTCTTACTGTTCATGAAGAGTGAAGATTATTCACATGAAACAATGGCTCCGGACATTCATGGTTAGCCACTTCTTATGGTCTCATCTAATAGAAAGTCTCATTGAAATGAAGCAAAAAATTAGGGAGATTTCTCCTCTGTTGGAATACTTTTGAAATCTGGGGTGGCTTCACAGCAGTCAGGGAGGAGAGCTGGGCCGCAGTTGTGTTTGTCTTAGAATCATAGAATCGTCTAGGTTGGAAAAGCCCTTTAAGATCATCACGTCCAACCGTTAACCTAACCCTGCCATCCCACCACTAAACCGTGTCTCTAAGCACCTCATCTAGCCTTCTTTTAAATACCTCCAGGGATGGGGACTCTTATTTCTGCCCTCCTGTTTCCCTGAAAGCTGCTCAGTGAATAAAGTAGTCTACTACCATCACAACTCCTTCAGTCCCTCTGAAGGGTGAGTCTGCTCTCCAAAGTGGTGCCAACGCTGGCATTGGGGGTTCTCTGCTTATTTTCTCCATTGCTCCAGCCTGGTCTAGCCAGGAGTGTAGCTTCATTCAGCGTTGCTGTATTTGAATGCAGCTGGATGTCGCTCCATTCGATGTTGCATTTGCTACCTGCTGATGTGGCGAGCTCTAGTTCGCGCAGTTGATATTTCTCAGCAGCACATCCCCACAACTCCTAATGTCTTTCAGGTTTTACCCTTGCTTACTTGAACCTCCCTGGCAGAAACAGAAGTCTGCAGGTATAACTGAGGGCAGTAATAAGGCTCAAGCCTGAAACTTGATCATTTTGTGGGTATTGCAAAAGGAGAACAAGAGTCCGTGTCCTTCTCTCTAGGCTGCGCTGCTCCTGCAGGCCCTGTGTGGACCCTGATTATAGGTTATTTTTTGTCACGGAGCCAAACAACCGTTTTTCTGTCATCTCGAAAAGAGAAAATCTCAGATTGTTAATGTTGCTGTTGCTTGTGAGAACAGTTGAGCCGTTCTTCCTCCTCGCACTCTTTCGTTACTCGCCCGACGCACAGATTCTGGGTTTGAAACTCCGGAGCTGTTGCTCAGATTTGCCCCCACCTCCAAAAGCTCCTTTTGCTCTGCTGCCCACCGGGCAGGGGGTTATACAGCCGCAGCAGGGACTGGCTATAGGGTATCCGCTTGATGCCTCCCAGGTTGCACTTTATGCCAATGTGGACATTGTACAAATTCTCAGGAATTCAGGGACAGTACAGAGGGGTTTTCCCAGGGTGGGAGGTACCAAGGGCTGCACTTTCTTACAGCTGCCTGTACATTTAAAGCAATATCTTTTGTTCTCTTTAAGAAAAAGGTGCAGATTATTCACACATTCTAATTTGGTTTCGTGTTTGGGGTTTTTTTTTCCATAGTGATAACTTTGCCAAAGGTGCCCCCGTTCAAGCATAGGTCCATGCCTAGTCCCTATGGTCAAGTAGCTATCCTATAAATGACACCAGAGGAAACGTCTGCAATGACACGCAGGAATATGTCCCACAGGGCTGATTTAGAAGCAGACTGAGCTAAAGGATTGCCCATGGGCAGCGGACACCAGGAGCCCTATGATGCTTTCTCTGGATCAACTCAACTGTCAATACGGAATCAACTACGTACATTCGGTTGGACTTGATGATCTTAAAGGTCTTTTCCAACCTAAACGATTCTAAATGATTCTATGATTTGAGTTTTCAGCCGGACTGCTCAGTGCCTTTCTGACTCAGAGCCCTTGGGCATTTATATCTGCAGGGCAGGTAACACCGCAACCAAACCAGGGCCTCTGGCTCCTTGTATCAACCATCAGGAGAAAATCCAGCAGAAAAAAATATCATGGCATGCTCTTCTCCAAGTTTGCTTTTTGGGATTTTCTTCAGCTAATCCGTTCTCTTGCAGAAATTACTAATTAACGGGATGCACTATTCACCCCAAAGTGACACTGTAGCGATTTTCTACACTCATTTTCAGTCAGAAACACACTGTGACCGATGTTATGGAATTTAAAGCAAGGCCCCCCATCTTCATTACCCCAAATTCACGTGTCTCTGACTTACTTTGAACAGGGCTGGGCGCTGCAGAAGGACTCTAATGGAAAAGAAGAGACTTTTAATTAAAAGTCTCTAAACACCCTTTTGGCTATTTTAGATGCTGATGTTCGTGGCTAAGTCAGTCTCCTTCATTCAGAAAGGCAGAGGCTGGCAGCCCCCCCCAAATATCCACCTCAGACCCTGTATATCCCCGTTCACGACAGTCTGTAACCACACTGACTTTTGTCCTAAGCCAGTGTTAGGGATCCCTCCTGGATGTCACCCAGGCAGCTAACAGGTTGTATTGCACTGCCATATACTGTAGAATTAAAGCATTATTATAACGCGTTATAAGGAGTCCTTGTTTCTTTTGAGGTTCTCCTCTTTTCCACTGAATAGCCATTTATTTACCCACACTGTCAGGGAACTCCTGATGGGGGGGTAAGTCAAAATGACTGAGAACTGATGCGGTCTCCCTGTGCCCGACCCCTTTGTCTTCCAGAGGAGCGCCAGTATCGCTGCGAGGACTGTGACCAGCTCTTTGAGTCCAAGGCTGAGCTTGTAGACCACCAGAAGTTCCCCTGCAGCACACCTCACTCCGCCTTCTCCATGGTGGAGGAGGACTTCCAGAAGAAGCTCGAGAATGAGAATGACCTTCGGGACGTGCATGAAATCCAGGAGTGTAAAGAGTGTGACCAAGTCTTCCCAGACTTACAAAGGTAGGAGTAGATGCTTAAAACATGATTGGATGAGGCAAATTCCCTGATGGCTTCAATCAGATCATGCAGGGCATCAGCCAGAGCAGAAGCTGATACCTTCATCTTCTATACAAACCAAAGATCAAGACGAATAAGACTTCTGTGCTGGTTGGTGGTTTATGGCATAGAAAGCGATGGAATCTCAGTAAATCAGAAATTTGGTCCTTGTACTGAAGTCCTTAGTGGGGACCTTAAATTAAGAACTGGATCTTCTGATAATCAGACCTGTAGCTGGCGTGAATTGGGCTGGTTGCAGTGAAATCAGAGGAGCGATTGTCGTTCAGATCGACTAAGGTCTGGGCTCCTTATTTTTAGTTAGAAATAACTTAGAACGTCTCTTGCATGGAGTTCACTGATGTTAGCAATTTTGTCTTTGCAAACAAGCCGTGCTAGTTAGAGGCAGGTTCTAGATGCTTATACATATGTCTGCTGATGTTAGCAATTTTGTCTTTGCAAACAAGCAAAGAACCTGCTAGAGGCAGGTTCTAGATGCTTATACATATGTCTAGATCCATACACATATGTATCTGGAATATGCATAGAATGTAAACAGAAAGTACAACTTTTATACAGTGAAGGTCTTTTACATATTTCCTGTCACTATAGTTTTTGTGGCTTCTTAAGTTACCGTATTGCGGTGCAGATTATGGCAAATCTTGCAAATTACTGAAAGATACTGAGAGTGCGCCGGAGCTTCTGCAGCACACACCTCGCAGAGTCACAGCTTAATGCTTTCAAGACGGGGGAAGGCTGACCTCAGCCAACAT